AATAAAATAAAATAAAATAAAATAAAATAAAATAAAATAAAATAAAAATCCATTCAATATCTAGTTTCAATCAGAACAAAGAGCTGTCAGCCTTTTTAAAGTTGATCTTGAGCTATCACATGAAGCATACATATTTTTCTCTAATTTACATGCGCAGTGGTGACTTGGAATCACAAAACTGTTTTTTTTTCTGTTTATCTATGGTTTCATTTATTTCTGTATCCAAGCCTAGTTTTTTTTTTTAAATGTTCACTATATTTTATTCATCTGTGCATGTGTGTGTGAGAATTCGTGGAGGTGGGACTACAACTTGGGGGTGTTGATTTCACCTGCAGGTTCCAAAACACAATCCATATTGTTCTCTGAGAAGACTATATGACTCCTGTGAGAGTCATTTATACAATCTAATAAACTCCTCTGTAGTACTTGTAAATCACTGTAAACTTGAGATTTCACCAAAGATGAATATGATTTAGCATAACTTAAGAATCCTGCAATCATTTTGTCAGCATTGTTTGATTGTACTAAATATGTTCTCTAGACATATTAATCATCTCACAAGAATGGGCTTCTTAGAGTATGTGATTCCAACATTTTATATTTTATATTATATATATATATAATATATATTACTGCTAAAGCATTTAAACATCATGGTAATTTAATAAAGAATTCACCTTAATTTGTATTTTGTTCTTTAATTATAAAATGTATAAATAATTTAAAAAAATATCTTTACTTGTTAATATTAAAAAAAACCTTCCATTTGTGGGACAGATAGGTAACTCCACTGCAGTTGAGTAATGGGCTATTGAACCCTGATCCTCCATGAGGAAGAAGCAGAACTGCCTACTGAGTGCTGTAGGGGAGCTCAGGCACGCCCTGAGATCTTGCATTGGGGAGCCTAGAGTCCCTTCCCACAGAGGGGAGCAGCAGGTGGCTGAGCAGCCAAGGTGGGAAGGCTGGGCTGTCCCGAGGCTGGATGTGTAGGCAGGCATAGGCTATTGGAGGACAGGCACAAGAGCTGCTGAAATGCGAATCTCCGCAGATCTGCAGATGGGGCAGTCCTGGACTGTAAGCCGGGGTCAGAGACTAAAGGGCTGCGTTCCTTCTGCACACTCTAACCCTAAGGGAGACACCCTAACCCTAAGGGAGGGTCTCCAGTCACTGAAGACTATCTGGCCAATCAAAGCCTCCAACCTGACCTGCCAGTCAAGAAAGGGGCCATGTCCTTCCGGGTGCCTTTCTGCGGGTTCGGCTCCCGCTGCTTAGCAGACTCGCGTGGTTCCAGGTGAAGTGCTCTGAGCTCCACCACAGCTGCTTGGGTGCTGCGAGGGGAACTGAGGCAAGCTCCGAAGTCGCAACATGGTGAGTGCAGGGAGGAGAAGGCGGCTGAGCGGTTGGAGCTGGTGTGCAGGGTCTCTCCCAGAGATTGGCTGGTCAGCAGCGGCCACTGGGGAGGGACCTTGTGGTCCTGGGCTCTCTCTGGACCCAGCGCTGGCATCTGAGTCACTTCACTGAGGGGGGCGCATCCAGGCAGAGCGTTGGCAGCAGCGGTTTGTGTGCAGAATCATCCTTGTGGCAGAATGCCAAACTCAGAGTACTTCAGTTTCTCTTCGGTGTTCCAGTTTCTCTCGTCACTTCTACAAGTTCTGCTCTTAGCATTTAAACTTTAGGTGTGAGTTCCATTCGGAGGTAGTTTTGTGGGGTTTGTAAACGGCATCTTGTGTATTGGGTAGCACTCCAATATTAAGCTGTGATGAGGAAGAGTAGAATTGATGATGTTGAAAGACTCCCGCTAGAGCCTCTTTAGACGGGGAGACCCCGCTTCCCAAGGAACAGCGAGACCAGTCTTCGGATGCAAGCCGCAAGAGGTTTATTTCAATACACGGGTACCCGGGGCGACAAAGCCCTTCGGAGGACTTGCGCGCCTCTCGGTTGTGGTGACGGGTTTTTATAGTGCTCGGGAGCAAGAAGCACGGTTACAGAAGCGAGAAGCATAGTTACAGGGATCTAATTGGGTGGTTTGAACAAAGCCATAGTTGTGTCACGTACCCGGAACAGGGAAGGCGGGAAGGCAGATGTGAGCCGTGTCACGTACCCGGCCCTTATCTCGGGTACCCAGAGTGTTTTTATCAGGGGCTTTCCATTTCCCCTCATAGGCCAGGTGCCCAACCGCAGATATCCTGCTGTTGGACATCTGTCCTGCCTTGCTTCTGACCTTGTACTGTTTTAGTCTTTCAAAGTGGTGTTGCCAGCATTATGCTAGGGTTTTTTATTCTTTCATTCCCCCATTTTTCTTCTAGCCTAGAATGGAATCCTTCATTCTACGGGTCTAGGGAGAGTCAATCTCCATCTCTAGCTGCTTGAGTTGATGATACTGCTGGGTTAGCACTAACGTCTGTATGACGGAGAGCCGGTCCTTTATAAACTGAACTAGCCGATTTAGGATACAAGGCCCAACTAGTAGAATCAGGAGAATTATGATTAGGGGACCCATAATGGAGGAGATCAGGGTGGTGATCCAGGGGGACTGACTAAACCATCTCTCGTACCAGCTCTGTCCTGACTCAAAGAATTGCTGTCTCTGTCTGAGTCTTTCTCTGAGTTTAGCCATGTTATCCCTTACCAGTCCAGTATGGTCAGCATAAAAGCAACATTCTTCCTTTAGAGCTGCACACAGTCCTCCTTCTTGTAAGAAGAGGATATCTAGCCCCCTTCTATTCTGCAAGACTACTTCCGAAAGGGAGGTTAAGGATTTTTCCAGACCACTAACTGATTCTTCTAATGCTTGCAAGTCGGTATGCATGGCCTGTTGCAGTTGTCGGAACTGAGTAGTTTCTACCAGGGCAGCAGAACCAGTCCCTACTCCGGCTGCGATACCCCCGACTGTGAGTCCCCCTAGTATTAAGGCCAAAGTTAAAGATACAGGCTCCCTAGAGTACCGGGTGATCCCCTCAAAATGTTTGTAGACGTATTCAGATTCATGGTAGACAACTTTAGGCCAGAGCTCAATGAGGACACAAAAGTCAGAGTTTTGGTGAGAATTAATGCAGATACACAGGGCTCTAAGCCGGAGCTGCAAGCCCAATAGGTCCCACTGGGGCCCGTTAGGTAGTAGGAGCCTGGGTGGATCCTGGAGTTTGAGTTGCAAAGTTTTTGGTGAGTTTTGGGGACTGACCCGATACAGATTCCCCAGCCAGACACTTCAGATAGAGTTAGCCTATGTTGGGAGGTCGAAGTACAGTATGTTGGGGGTGTGGTGTAGTTTACAAGGTCCCCCGTTATTGCAACTCCTTCGTAGTAAGGGGGAGTTGAGACCAGGCATAGCCAGCGTTCTTGGGTTTTGCTAGGATCTGTATAATTAAGCGTCTGGAAGGCTCCCTGTATTAGACCAAGCAGTCTATCACCTGTACTTGATCGGAGGAATCGTGGTGCGGGGATGCCTAGACTGGCTGGGCCCTGGGTTTCGTTAGGGGGCATGGTCGCAGGCGGAATGGGTAATTTCTCAGGTGGGGAGGAGGGGACTCTCAGGTTTGGTAACACTGAGTTAGGCCCGACGGGTACCTTGGGTTTATCGAGAGTCAACTGGAGGCGTATTATTCCCCCATGGCCTCCGTTCCAGAGGCGCAACCCGAATTCTTTCCCACACAACCATCCCTCTCTATATTTTTTTTTCTTTATCAGTAAAGGTAAGGATGAGCTGATTACAGGGTTTGGGTACAGGACGGGGGTCATCAGCATTGACTGAATACCCACATTTGTCATGCTTGGGGTCCCTGGTGAGCTGGATGAGTCCGATTGAGGTCGGTAGCCAGCTGGTGGCGAAATCCTCACATCCCCATGCGGCACAGTATAAGTCGTCCCTAGTTCCACAATTCTGCAGTCGCCAGGGGCTATTCCCTGGGGAAGGGCACATGTAGAAATGTCTTTTTTTGACGTCTACACTGCGTCTGGCATAGGACCCAGGTGGCATGGCCTGAGCTAGATCAAAACTTAGTTCAGGGAACCAAGTGTACGGGGGGGCCATTTTGGAAGTCTTGTTAAGAGGGACACCAAATCCATCTAGCAGGACCCAAGTCGAGTTCACAGGGATGTGGGGACTGGAGTGTGACAGAGCGAACAGGAAGAGAAAGAATATCAAACCCGGGTAAGTCTTATCTTTAGTGGATTTTGGGTGCGATGGAGTTTCCATGAGGAGGCTGGAGCCTGATCTTGCTCTGCGTGGTGATGGGCCGCTTTGGCATGGGAGGTGTGCACCCACGCTGCGATACCGTCGACCTTGAGCGCCATCGGGGTTGTTAGCAACACAGTATATGGTCCTTTCCAGCGGGGTTCTAAGTTCTTGGTTTGATGTCGGCGGACCCAAACTGTGTCTCCGATCTGGAACGGATGCGGCACCACTGGTCGGTTCAGCTGTTCCTGGTATGCAGCAGCGATGGGTTTCCAGACTTCTTTCTGGACAATCTGCAGTGCCTGCAAATGAGCTTTTAGAGAGGGGCTGTCAGCAAAGGAGGCCACACAGGGATCAAAGAAGTTAACGACTGGTGGTGGGGCTCCATACAGGATCTCGAAAGGAGTGAGTCCATGGGGGCCCGGGGTGTTCCGGGCCTGGTATAGGGCCAATGGGAGGAGGACCACCCAGTCACTAGAGCCAGTTGCCAGCGTTAATTTGGATAAGGTCTCTTTGATAGTTCTATTCATTCGTTCTACCTGCCCTGAACTCTGGGGACGGTATGCACAATGTAATTTCCAATTGATCCCCAACAGTTTGGCCACTAACTGACTTACCTGAGAGACGAAGGCAGGGCCATTGTCAGAGCCCAACGCCTGGGGCATGCCATACCTGGGGAAGATTTCTTCCAGAAGCTTTTTGGTGACTACTTTAGCAGTTTCACGTTTGGTGGGGTAGGCTTCTACCCATCCCGAGAAGGTGTCCACAAATACCAGTAAGAACCGATATCCATAGAGTCCAGGTTTTACCTCTGTGAAGTCAATCTCCTAGTGGGTGCCGGGGCGATGTCTCCAGATCCTGGTCCCCGGGCCTACCCTATGGCGTCCTGCATTCACTTGGGCGCATGCTGTGCACTCTTCAGCCACTTGCTGTAGAATTTTATCCCTCCCCAGCAGATAGTGGGAGCTTTCTTCCCTTTCTAGGAGGGTTTTCATTTTCCTGGAGCTAAGGTGAGTCAGTTTGTGGAGGTATTTAATCAGGTTACGAGTCTGTTGCAGGGGCCACACAGGTTTTTCTTTGAAAGTCCAGAGTCTTAGCGCGGGATTGTAAGTGGCTCTCATTTATTTTAGGAGGTCCTGATCTTCCTCACTATAGTGGAAGGGGGATTCCTGAATGGAGGGGACCTCTGCCTCGGCCGGTTTTATAGCCAGGAGCTGAGAGGTATCTGAGCTTCCTCGCATCGCCGCTTCTCGGGCAGTTACGTCCGCCAAGCGGTTGCCCCTGGCTTCTCGGCTGTCTCCCTTTTGGTGGCCGGGGCAATGGATGATGCTCAGTTTTGAGGGTAAAAACAATGCTTTAAGCAAGGCCAATATTTCAGCTTTATTTTTGATTTGTTTTCCTTCCGAGGTTAGCAACCCTCTTCTCCGATATATCTCCCCATGGATGTGAGCAGTGGCAAAGGCATAGCGGCTGTCGGTATAAACGTTGAGCTTCTTACCTTCCGCCATCCGGAGGGCCTGAGTTAGGGTGATGAGTTCAGCCTGCTGCGCCGAAGTGCCAGGTGGTAGGGCCTTAGCCCAAATTACCTCAGTCTCGGTGGTGACTGCAGCCCCTGCTCTCCGTTCTCCGTTATCCAGAAAGCTGCTCCCGTCGGTGTACCAGGTGAAGTCGGCGTCAGGGAGGGGCTGGTCGGTCAGGTCAGGCCGGGTGCCATGTACCTCTGCGAGTATCTGGAGACAGTCATGAGTTTCTGGACCCTCCGGTAGGGGAAGCAGTGATGCCGGATTGAGAGCTACTATAGGGCCAAAGTATACTCGATCAGTGTCCAGCAGTAGAGCCTGGTAGTGGGTCATGCGGGCATTGGAAAGTCATCGGTCCGGAGGTTGTTTGACCAGGGCTTCCACTGCATGAGGAGCCAAAATTGTTATTGGCTGTCCAATAGTCAGCTTGCCAGAGTCTTTAGTCAAGAGGGCAATTGCTGCCACCATCCTCAGGCAGGGTGGCCATCCCGAGGCCACCGGGTCAAGTTTCTTGGACAGGTAGGCTATCGGATGCCTCCATGGTCCCAGTTTTTGGGTCAGGACTCCTTTAGCATATCCCTGTTTTTCATCTACAAACAGTTCGAAGGGCTTGTTTAAGTCCGGAAGCCCCATCGCGAGGGAGGTTAGCAGGGCCTCTTTTATGGCTGCATAGGCTCTCTGCTGCTCATCTCCCCAAGTAAAGAGAGTCCCTTGCTTGGTGAGTGGGTAAAGTGGCTCAGCCATTTCCGCAAACCCTGGAATCCAGAGGCGGCAGAACCCCGCCGTACCCAGGAACTCTCTTAGCTGTCTCGGGCTTTTGGGCACCAGAATCTTTAGGATTGTCTGTTTCCGTGCCTCTGTCAACCATCTCTGTCCATCTCTGATTTGGTAGCCCAGGTATGTAACCTGCCTCTGGCATAATTGGGCCTTTTTGGCTGAGGCCCGGTATCTTAGAGTTCCTAAGGTCCTCAAAAGGGCCTTGGTTCCTTCCTGACATTTTTCCTCAGTTTTCGCAGCCAGGAGGAGGTCATCAACATATTGGAGCAAGATTAAGGCAGGGTAGTGAACCCTAAAGTCGGCCAGGTCCCGGTGCAACGCCTCATCAAATAAGGTGGGGCTGTTTTTGAACCCCTGTGGGAGTCTGGTCCAAGTGAGCTGACCCGACATTCCCAATTCCGGGTCCTTCCACTCGAAGGCAAAGATGGGCTGACTCCGAGGGTGGAGCCTCAAGCAGAAGAACGCATCCTTAAGGTCTAATACCGTATACCAGGTGTGCGTCGGAGGAAGCCCAGTCAACAAATTGTATGGGTTAGGAACTGTAGGGTGTATATCCTCCACCCTTTTATTGACTTCTCTCAAGTCCTGCACTGGGCGGTAGTCTCCCGCCTCTGGCTTTTTGACCGGAAGGAGAGGCGTATTCCAGGGGGATTGACAAGGTACCAGGATGCCCTGGTTTAAAGGTCTCCGAATGTGGGGCCTAATTCCTTGGTAAGCTTCATGCGACATCGGGTATTGCTTAATGGAAATAGGAGTCACCAATGCCTTTAAAGTAATTACCAGGGGCGGTTGGTGGGTTGCGAGACCCACTCCCCCTGTTTCCACCCAGGCTAAAGGGAATTTTTCTAACCAGACAGTCATTTCTTGCGGCCGAGGCCTTTCAGGCTCGTGAAGCTGGTATTCATCCTCCAGATTCATGGTTAACACATGTAAAGGCTGTCCCTGTGGCCCAGTAATGTGGGCCTTAGTCCCTTCAAAGTGGATTTGTGCCCTGAGTTTCATTAATAGATCTCTCCCCAACAGAGGATAAGGGCAATCAGGAACATGTAAAAAGGAGTGAGTCACCTTACCGGTGGCGAGTTGTACTCTTCTTTCAGTTGTCCATCAGTACCTTTTTCCTCCGGTGGCTCCTTGAACCCATGCCGATTTGTCAGTCAGGGGTCCCGGTGAGGTGGTGAGCACCGAATGCTGGGCTCCGGTGTCCACCAGGAAGGTGACGGGTTGCCTCCCCACATTAAGGGTTATCCTGGGTTCAGGGGGGGGGGCTCCTGAGCCTGACTTCCCTAATCCTCCAGGTTTAGCAGGGTGGCCTGGGGCTTAGGCTTCCGTGGCCCTTTTGGTCTCTTTGGGCAGTCTCGGACCCAGTGCCCTTTTTCCTTGCAGTAGGCGCATTGATCTTTGTCTACTCGAGGACCCCTGCGGTCTCCCAGGCCCTGTCTATCCTGTCTCTGTCCTGTCGCTACAGTGGCCAGCAATTTGCTAAATTCCCTATTCTTCTTGCGGTCTCTAATGTTCTCTCTCTCCTGCCTCTTTTTTTTAACCTTTCGTCTCTCTCTTGTTGAAAATCCACTCCGCCTCTTTCAACAAATCCTGGATTGTACTTTTTCTTAAGTTTTTAAGCCTTTTTAATTTTTTTCTGATATCCGGGGCAGACTGCCAGATAAAGGACATAGCCACATTGGTAGCCTGGTTAGGGTCCTCCGGATCATAGGGGGTGTACACACGATAGGCTTCCTTTAGTCGCTCTAGGAAGGCGGAGGGAGATTCCTCTGACCCTTGGGTCACTAACTTAACCTGGGCCAAATTAGTGGGGCGCTTTGCTGCCCCATGGAGACCCGCTATCAGCAACTGGCGATAGAGACGTAAGTGATTCCTACTGTCCTCCGTGGTGAAGTTCCAATCAGGTCGTTCCAAGGGGAAGGCCTTGTTGATCTCGTTTGGCAACTGAGTAGGCTGCCCGTTATCCCCCGGAACGTTTTTACGGGCTTTCAAAATGACCCGTTGCTTCTCCTCGGTGGTCAGGAGGGCCTGTAACAGCTGCTGACAATCGTCCCAGGTGGGCTGGTGGGTTACTAAAATGGACCTGATTAAAGCAGTGAGTCTAGAAGGGTCCCTAGAGAAAGGGGGGTTATTATTTTTCCAGTTATATAGATCTGAAGCGGAAAAAGGCCAGTATTGGAGCTGGCCATCAGGCCCCGCTCGTAATGGGAGAGCCTGAGATGTGGAATCCGGAGGGGCCTCTCGGCACCCTCTCAACCGCCCTGCCACCAGGAAGGAGCCGGTTCCTCCTGAGGTCCGGCTGCGGCGGCTTCTCCCGGCTCTAGGTCGGGGGTTGGGTCCCTATAGGGTAGATATAGGGGTAGTAAGCCAAGGAGAGCTATTATCCTTTTTTTTTTCTAGGTTCTCTCTAGGCTTTTAGCCCAGTTGCTGCAATATTAGTTTTTATTTCAGCTAAGCAGATGCTCAAGATAATAGCTAATGCCAGGGAGCCACTTTTGACTTAGCATTTCAGCCTGCTAGGGGGGATTTGGGCGAAGATCCGTCTTCTGGAGCTTCTTCGATGCTGACCATTGGACTGTAGGCATCAGGAGCTAGGGAGGCTAAAATGCCAGTCAAAGCCTGGGCAATAGGGCAGTCCCAAGCATCTGGTTAGTTGATCCACCGGAAGAGGCAGGGAGCAATCAGGTCAGTTTCCAGGAAGTCCAGATCTCAGCTTGCAGTCCACATCTGATCCCAGAACAGAGTTAAACAGGTGAAAATCTGCTGAGACAAATTTAGACTGGAGACAGAAGTTAAAATTTATCTATTAAATTGGAAAGATCAGGGAAAATCTCATCTGTGATCCTTTTGAGCTATGCCAGATCCAGGTCAAATCCTGAAACTTATATGAAATTTTTTAGTACACAAAAGGAAATAGATAATTTTAAATACTCAGAAAAGTAACATATCAGCAAATTGAACATTTTGAGAGTAACAGGTAAAACTGCATCTCACTGAATAAGTATCAGCTGTTTGTTATATAATCTTTATACACAACTTAAGTGTGTCCACGGTAACATTTTTTCTGTGGGCATAGCTGTTGGTAATTAGCCATGAATGAAACTTGGCCATTTTTTTATACACTCAGCATCTTTTAGTCTCCATCTCTATGTTCATACTGGAAAGTTAGGCAGAAATACATTACTGGCTTTAGTGTTAAACCCTGGATGCTTGATTTTGTTTAACAAAGCAATTAGAAAGAATAGGTTTAAGATATTTCTGTGTCAAAATCTATCCCAGAAATGGCAGATATTAAGAATACCATACTAAAAGCTATGACTTTTGTGTCAGATATACACATTAAACAGATGTTTTTAACATGATGAGAAGTATCTTTAAGTCTTTAAGTCTATCTCCAGAAGCCAACTAAAGGAAATTAAAATCTCAACCTGGTGACTGAATAATAAGCAGTCAGTGTTCTATCAACTTATCAGAACTCTAGTGATTAATGCCAAAACTCTGAACTTCTGAAATCTCATAACATAAGCACGACAGTAGCAAAGAGGGGGGAGAGATCTAAAGTATCTCCCATTTTTAACATGCTTTAAACTATTTTTATATTATTACAACTTATAATTATATACCTTAAAACATTAACTTAGACACTCCAATCTTTTGCATTTATCAACCCTGAAACATATTCTCAGACTAAATAACAACACTCTCTAGATTTTTACAACCTAAACTCCTATATCCTCAGACCCTACATAGGCTCTATATATTTTTTATCCAGCTATATATATCTTAAGACACAGACAACTAACATGAATTCTGAGAGCAAGGCAAACCTGTTTTTTTTTAATAAGAGATCTAGTACCTAGTAGTTCTAGCTAATGAACTGATCAATGAGCTAACAGTGGATCTAATTGTCTTCTATCTAGCTGCAAAGCTACCATAAGCTTAGCATAGCCATCAATGTGTTCAGAGACCTGAGAAGGATAATTTATAAGCTAAATAAATATACCAATTTATGCACCAATCAAAATGACAGGGATGACTAGTTAGTCCATCACCTAGGCAGTGTCCCTTGCTCCTGTGTCTCACAGCATCCTGAACAGAGGCTGTCCAACCAGGCACAGAAGGTGAGAGACTGCTTCTACTGCTTCTGTGGAAAGAGGAACAGAAGAGATTGACCTCACCTTGCCTCTCACAATGTGAGACAATGGCTCTTCAGATATCCCCGGCTTTGTCCACAGCATAGGCTGGGCCCTAGCAGTGGGCCACTTGGGACAGTATTGCCCAGTGGTTAGCATACCACAATCCAGAGTCACAGTCATCTGTCATTGTGCCCAAATCTTCTCGGAGACCTTGGGGGAGCTACTGCCAGGATTTCGGGACTTTCTGTTACAATAAGCTTACACAGTTAAAATGCTATATTCATCAGATCTCTGACAAGCTTGAGGGCCAGCATATCTGTGTTACTCTGTTTTTATCATCTGTTCTAAACTGTGTCCTATGAGCACGCATCCCCAGGTTACTTGGGTGATTTATAGATTCTGGTCCCTCACAGCATACCAGAGGCAGGGGCAATTATTGCCTGGCAAGCATCTATTGGACAAGATGCTACATTTTTGAATCGATTTGCTATAGGAAGGTTCCCAGACCATTGACCATGACCAGGTGTCCCTCCCTAGGGGGAAGGTCCAGTTTCCTAGCAACCGTATCTCTAGTGGGTGGGGAAAGAATGCAGTGAGGCAGCTCTCCCCTCAGGGCATTACTGTTACCACACCTACTCTAGGTTTTACCGATAGCTGCTACTTTATCTTTTGGTCTCTCATTACCAACCTATGGCTAGCTGTGTGCATGCATTTCTCTGATGGCTGTCTCCAAAGTGGTGTTGGTAAAGTCAACCTCAGAGTGTCCAGGGCCTTTGCCTGGGTGGCCAGCAGCACAGCCTGCTCTGATGGTATCCAAATGTCCTCCTACCACTCCCCAGCCTTCACCTCCATCCATTAAAGCTTCTAGGGGTTTTGCTCTACAAGGAAACCCAGAGTTCTCCTGTAGAACTTTCCAGAAAGCCACTGAGAGCACTGGAGATTGTTGCTTGGTGATTCCACTGTTATGTCAGGTTCACGGGACCCTCAGAGACCACCAGGAGACGACTCGATGCAATTGCAAGAGAGCTTTATTACGAGAGCGATCGAACTCGGGACCCAAGTCTCATTGGCACAGCAGTAGAGAAGTGGGACCCCGAGCTCTGAGTGAACAGGATTTTTAAAGGGAAAGTCTGTGAGCCGGGGGTTTCCATGGCAGCAAGCAGGGGGGCACAAGCCTTGGCGTTACAGAATTGGGTGAAGTTTAGCAGGGTAGGGTGACCTTTTCTGAGGCACATAATCACAATGGCTAAGGCATATATCACAATGGCTAATTTTCTAAACCATATCTGAAACATTGGGGAGAATTTCCCCACCCGATTCTCAACCAATTCCCATTGATTATTGCCAGGGAGTTTGTCTCTATTTTCTATGGAGCATTTATTCTGTTATATTTCCTGGAGGCTGTTGCTAGGAGAGTTAACTTTGTTTTCTGCCAGGTGTACACTCTGTGATATTTCCTGGTACCTGAATTCAGTTCCCAGTCAAGATCTTTATTTCAAAATGGAGTTATATTCAGGCTATCTTAAGCTCTTCACCACCTGTTCCCCTCATTTATTGGTCAGCAAGTTCTATTTTTAGCAACCTTTGATAAGCCATTCCTTATGAGGTGTCATTTTTTCATTCATTATTCTATCTAGTGAGGTATTGATAAATATGTGTGTGTATGCATATATACCTATAGGTGTATATACATATTTAATTATACATTTTTTCCAAGTTTCCAAGGGTCACCTTATTTAAGCTCCCTGAGCCCGGGTCTTTTTCTTTGTCATGGTGGGAGGAGATTAAATGACCCTTTTACCTAAGGCCCTGGGCATTAGGCCTCTCCTAGACAGCAGTAGCCACTGTTGGGAACCTGTGGCTCTGACAGCTGCTTTGATATTTAAATCTCAGCAGAAAGACTGCTTTTACAAGGCCTTCACTGAAGTCAGGAAAGAATTTGCAAGTCCATCTCTTTTGTTTGTGACAGCAGGTGGGATAGCTTGTGAAGCTCACACCTCTTGCTTCAACCCCTTGTGAATTTAACCCATTGTTCTGAGCTGTTTTTACTCTGGCTTAAAAGCTCTCTGCAATAAAAAGTCAGGCTTGCTCCTTGCTGCTGCTACGGCTGCTGCTGTGGCTGAGAGTCTGGAGCCTCTTTAAAAAGTCTCCTGTGTGTTGTGTGTTGATATGATTTAATAAAAGTTATTAATGAGCAGGTCCGCACCCCTTCAAGATTTAATGTAGAGGTGGTTGATCGTTTTATACATATAAATGTTTAGATTTGTCATCCTTTTAAGATGTTTATGAGATTACTTTTTAATATAATTGCTTCTTGATTACCCCCGATTTCAGCTTGCCAGTAAAGAAAAGCTGTCTGAGAAGTTATGTTGCTTGCTCCTCTTCTTTATTGATCACAAGTTGGTTAATTGCAAGTGTGTATATCGGGTCTTGGGGATAACTTGATTTCATATTTGTTTTTCACCCATAATAGATAAAACATTTGATCCTGTGAAGATATTGGGGAATATGTGTTTTATTTTGCATATATTTATTGTACTCATTCACTTAAAAACAGTGTTACCACATTTTGTGTTTAGTACTCCTTGAGAGATCTTGCTGGGATAGATAAGCTGTGGAAAAAGAGTAAAAGTGTCATCTGAACAGGCACTCTGGGTCTTGTTCTGTCCACCAAGGTATATGTATGTAGGGTGGTTTAGACCTCACTCTTTGGAGTTTGTTTCATCCACAAAGATGTATGTATACATATGTATGTAAGGTTGGGATAGAACTTGCTCTTTTGTGTTTGTTCCATCCATTGTGATGTATGTATATGTATGTAAGGTGGTTTGGTGCTTGCTTTTTGGAGCTTGTTCCATCCACCAATACGTATATAGGTAAGGTGGTTTGGAACTTATTCTTCAGAGTTTCTTCCATCCACCACATTATATATATGTAGGATGGACTG